AGACAGACTTGAATTTTATTAAAATCAGAAAACAAGCACACTGCTTCCTACTCTTCTGTTAGACACTGTAAAATAAACCTTCAAACTTTCTGGAATATATTAATTATTTCAAACACCGTATTCCTCATTGTTTTCTTGTAATGTGTTTTAGTTCCATATTCTTTACAGAGCATACATTAACAACCCTTCTTCCCTCACGGGTCTCCTTTCCTCACCCCAGGAAAGCTGTGTCTCCGTGTTCACTCTTGTTTATATAAATTAATCTTCTCTATGCTGACAGTTTCTTCCTTCATTAATGAGTGTTCCTAATTGGGCATAATGAAACGTTTACTCATGCTACTAGATAATATTATATGAAAGCACCACCGAGATAAGCAACTATGAAGAAAATAAGCATTTTAAAGATTTTTGGATAAGATAGAAAAGCCATTTTTTTTGGCCAATATTTTCCTATTCTATTTGAGAATGACTTCTGGTGCAGCTGTGTAACTAAGACTATGTCAAACGACATCCATTATTTATTGACCTGGTTAGCAAACAAGGACACCTTTGACTACAGCAAATTGTGAGGTCAATTTACTCTGCTTTACACCAACTGAAGGCTCGCTTTTTTTTCTTTTTTTTGTATTTATATGCTCTAAAATTTTCCATTTGGTGTGAGTTTCTCTGGGGAAAGCAATAGGAACTTGGGGGAAGGGAGAAGGAGAGAGCTTGAATTTGTAGAAAGCTGCCACAAGTGTAATTGTGCTTTTTATTTGCTATCCAGGTGCATCAGCTCAAGTTACAGACCAGTCTCCCCATAAAGGCAAACTTTTTCTCAACCTAGAAGAAACAGCAGAAAATATGTGTTAAGGAAATCAATTTTGCAACTGTTAGGCATTGAAATGATTCACTACCCTGTCTTCCTACAGAGTAAAATGGAAAGATTGAAATGCTATTGAGCTGCCTGAAATACACTGAATTTTGCTGCTTGATTAAAACTGGCTTGGCAGTTTAAAAGTAACTGGCTTGTGATATTCAGAGGGTATAAATAGAGCTATTTTACAGTGGATCTGTGAAGAAGGATGTTGACACTAGAGGCACAAAAATGATTCTTCTCATACTCTTACCAACCATGCTCACACAGACTGTGTATATCCAGGGCCTGATCCTGCCCTCTTGGAGTATCTGAGATCAGGGGATCCCTGATTGTCCAGGGACACAAGAGACAGGTAATTCAGATCAGGAATGCGTGGCTCTGAAAACTGGTACCTACTTACATTGGAGTTACTAGATTTTTAACCCCACACATTAGCATCAGTTTCTCTACCTTTTTTTAATTATTATTATTATTATTTAATAAAATTAAATATATAATAGTTCTGATTTTGAGCTAGTACTTATTTTGCATGTAAAGATACTTTATGGTGTCCTAACAAAGGGTGCAGAGATTGAGATGATACCAGAACATTACTATGTGTGTCTCTCCCAGGGCTTGGGAACCAGTTTATCCTGGCATGGATAATGCAGCATTACAGCTATGTCATCCTCCTGCCCTTGTCTTCCTCCGAGTGGAAAGGCTGAGCAGGGGGAGGTAGAGAAATGTGGCTCAGCACAGTGAAATTGGACTTTGCTATTAAAAGTAACTTTAATCTCTTTCTGGAGAGTGGTGGCATAAATGGGGTGGATGTAAAGATGAGTGGCTGAACTGAATCAGACCAAACATCTCCTCATGGTCTCTTTGGGCTCCAGTGAGGGTGGACAGGAGATACCTGTCCTCCAATACTGGAAAGAATAGGAAATTACAACCTGTAAGTAGGGAGGGATGTGTCTTCTGCATCAGCAAAATGGGACATCACTGAAGAGCTGGCTCATTCAAGTGTGCAGAGTTGTGTTTCATATTCTGTGCTTTGGGAGTGTTTTAGTTTTTAAGACACCATGTGAGCATTCTTCTCTATATGGGAGACAAAGATCTCTTTAGACTTTGTGCATCCTTAGCTGTTTGTTTTTTTTCTCAGGTTGGCTATGTTCATAGAAAATTTATAGAAATTATGCTGCTGTCTTTTGCTTCCAGTACCTATAACTTTTCATTATTACATTGACTTTATTCAGGATACTGGTTATGGTATTAATGAAGGAGTTTGGTGCACTGTGGTGCTTCCTTCTCTTGGTTAGATCATGGAAACCTGATCCAAAATAACTTAAAGAGGATTTAATAGGATAATATTGTCTATGAAGAAAAGAGTAAATTTGTCAGCTGGAATAGAAATTCTGTCACCTCTTGACACTGGGAGAAAAGGTGATTTTGTGAGCAAAAATTGATTTGAAAAATCTTAGATACGGAGGGCAAAGGCTGGTGTTTTTAAGCACTAACTTAAAATGAACTGTGTAAAACAAAAGGAACTTGAGGGAGAGGTGTTGTCTCCAACATAAACTGGTAGAGCTAAGAATGCTCGAGGAAGGAGAAATGAAGTTGGGTAGTATGTTGGATCATTCATGAGTTGTAGTAGCAGCACTGTCTCCTCTTTTCCCTTTCTCTTGTCCTGGATGATGCCACGTTCTGCTGCTCTGTCTTGGAAAATATCAAAAGGTCATGAAATAGACTTTAAAGGCAACGGTTCAGTGGCAGAATGTGATGTGGGTTGACTAGTCACCAGTTTTAGATTCATTTTGGACTTTGCAGTGGTGTTAAGGATTTGACCAACAGTTTTGTGCTTGTTTCCATAAAGAATGAACTGTGGGGGACCTGTTTACTTCACAGTTTGCTAATAACCTCTAATCCGGAGGCTGATGATTCTCTTTGCTCTTTTAGATTACCTTGCTGCTGCTGAGTGCTTCTATTTTGGTCATAGTATGTGTTGAAAATCCAGAGTGTGAAATATAAATTCATCTGGTATAGTCTGGTCCCACCCAGGTCATTGCCTGTGTAATTTTTTTCCCTTGCAAAAGAGGTAAACTCATCCTCATGGAAGGAGTGAGTAGTCTCGTTGCTTCACTTCTGTCTTTCATATTTTTTTTATGACATTGGGGTATCACAGGATGGAGGGAATCTGTATTTCTGCAATAGGATGGCACTCATTAAGGCAGAGCCATAATGTGGAGGTCAGGTGCTTTGGATATTTTGTTATAAATCCACCACACTTCTAGGTTTCTATCTTAATTTTCAATATGAAGAAGGGCATACAGAGTTTAAGCTAATTAGTTCCTTAAGGGCAGAATTATGATGATCAGTTCCTGTTTGTTTTCCACAGATTCTTCTGCTTAATTCTTCTTTAGATCCTGGGCTATAGTCAGAAGAAATCTGGACCATCCACAGAAAATAGTCTTGGGAGTGCACTGCGGGTAAAGGTATGCTGTGGCTTTCTCAGTCTCTACTGAAATATATTCATAAAGCCATGATTTAAAAAAACCCCAACAAATCTTAAGTAGAATGGCTGAATTCTGAATGCAAAAAGTTGAACTTTCTGTTGATTGGTTTGTTGGCAAAACCATCTTTTAAATAATTCCTGTATTTTTAATAATTAAATAATAATTGGAAAAAAACAAAACCAAAACAAAAACCAGAATAAAGAAGGAAATCCTTTGAGTGGAAATGGTCTGGAGTACCATTTTCAGTTCAGTGCTTGGATTCATTCAGAGCTTCCTGCACAGACCTAGTGTCTACATCTCCCTCAGCCCGTGCAGGGGTGTGCAGAGAGATTCCTGAATGAACACACTTGGCAGCTCCGAACAACGTCGCTGGTTTGGCGGAAGCTTCCACTCAAGCTTGTTTCTCCTGCTCGGAATTTGCATGGGCAGAGTGCCACTGAAGCTGATTCTGCTTTTTAATATCAGAACTAGGTCTCCAGTAGCACTGCAATTTGCCATACATACCTCTGTGTGTGTATGTATATGTGTACATCTAAATATTAAACTGACCAAAATGTTAATTCATTAGTTCTTCTTCTCTATAAAGCCTTACCAAAGTACGTAGGAGGCCCCAAATAAATGTGCAAAGCACGCCCAAAACATGTGTCTCATCTCTCTGAAAGTTCTACTTTGCAATTCTCCAAAACTTGTGTACCATCACCAGACATCATAGAATCATAGACTGGTTTGGGTTTGAAGGGACCTTAAAGATCATCCAGTTCTAACCCCCCTGCCATCAGCAGGGACACCTTCCACTAGACCAGGTTGCTCAAAGCCTCATCCAGCCTGGCCTTCAACACTTCCAGGGAGGAGCAGCCACAGCTTCTCTGGCCAACCTGTTCCAGTGTCTGACCACCCTCACAGTGAAGAACTTCTTCCTAATATCTCATCTAAACCTCCCCTCTTTCAGTTTAAACCCATTTCCCCTTGTTCTGTCACTCCCTGCCCTTATGAAAAGTCCTTCCCCAGCTTCCTTAATATTTCCTTGGTAGGCACTTTAAAAAGAAATAAATTTAATTTACACTCATGATCTTTGCTGCTGTGCCACTGATAAATGAACCTACAATTCAGATGATGTCGCTTACCTGAAGTCAATAGATGTATGTTCTTCTCTATCAGATAAGGAATTGGCCTCGGATTCTAGGCTGATGGTCTTAAAAATGACATTTGTCTGCATTTTCCTTTCTGTAATGGTATTGCAATCCTGTCTGTTTCAAGGAGGATATAAAGGAGCTCAGTTTTGGTGTTGATTTTTAGGAATGCTTACAAAGAATCTGTAAGATTGACATTGCTTCGAAGGACAAATAAATTAAAGAAATAATTATTTTTAATTTTTTTTAGGTTTGTGGAAATTTAAGTCCTCTGTACAGGATCCTGGCCAGCAGAAGGCAGTAACTGCTCAGCTTTGTGCTGTTCATCATTGCATGCTTGCTTGCATTAACCATCTCCACAGTATAGATCTACGGGCTGAATTTTCAAGGTTTCAGGAGTAGTTCATAGGAGATTTATTGTTGTACACGCTCAGTTCTTTATGATTCCCCCTAAATAATGTGTTCTCTTTCTTTCCTAGGCCTACCAGTTTTGCTTTTTTATGTACAATAATAATACTCAGCATGTTGTTATTCTGTCACAAGCTGGCTGGAGCCTTTCTTCCATTCCTCATCCTTTCAGGAAATTGGGTTTCATCTGAGAACATCAACTTTTACGATGTGAGACCTCCACTAGACCGTAAGTAGACAGTTATGCTTTTTTTGGTGTATGCAATTGCAACTTAACAATTTAGTTAATTGAAATTATTTCAGCCCTTTGTTTTTTAGGTGTTTGTCTCTTTCAAATGTGAAGGATTAAAAAGTTTAAAATAAAAACTTTGCTTTTCAACCCACAGCAGTTTAGTTTATTGCTAAGATTTTATAAATTGACTGAATGAAAACAAACAATTGCATGCCTTGCTAAATTGAAATGCATGAGGGCAATAGTTCTCACTTTTTAAGTGCTTTTATTATATTTTCCTGTCTCTGAAATGTCTTCCTACAGAGCAAATTATGCAGTGGGTTTCTCATAAATAATACATAACAGATGGTTTTGTCTTTTGTTGGGGTTTTTGTAGGGGAAAGAATAGGTGTGCTGTATGCAATTAATTCAAACTGAAGGTAATTAAAAACCTTGTGAGACCTGTGAAGCCAGTTGTCACTAATAGCATCATTTTTTTGCCTCTTATCTAGCATCAGAAGTGTTCTGTCCCTTCATTTAAGGGGAGAAGATTCTCATGATATGTATGATTAAAACAGTCAAGACAGCTAGATATAATAGGAGTCTATGTGCACCTAGGGAACTGTGCATCTTAAAATCCTTTAGATATTTATGTAATGCAAATAAGATTTTAAAATAGTCCTCTTGAACCCTTTGTCAGAGGGTTCAGACTTCTTCAGAGTTGGAGATCCAGATCTGAAGCTGGTTTTGAAGATGTATTTTTTTCATCAAAGGACTCAGAAGCCATTTGAATGTAGATTGTGTTTGTGTTTCTCTACAAACATACGTGCAGATGCACTATCATGTGCATATATATAAGGTGTCCTCTCTTTCCTGTTTTTCCCACCACTGCTTAAATGATATTTTGGATTGTGAGAGAATGAAAACAGGAGGAGATGTTTTAAAGTTCAAGCATAGTAAAACCAGTTAAAAATGTAAAAAACTTTCTACCAAACTTGTTTTGTAGGTTTTATTTGTCTTACAGTGATGTATCATTGAAAATATGTAAATGTACCTCATATATTTTTTTAAGTAGATGGGTGTACAAGCACTTACAGTATTACTTTGAGTATTTTATTTTTTCCTTAAATATTTGCAAACTTACTGTGTTTTAATACTTTTAAAGCCACTCCATTTCCAAACAGTTTTAAGTGCTTTACCTGTGATAACGCAGTGGACAATTACAACTGTAACAGATGGGCTGAAGATAGATGGTGTCCTGAAAGTAAGTGCATCTCTACTAAAGAGTTGGGGTTTTTTTGTTTTATGATAGTTAAATTTCCTTCTCCCTGGCTGAATAATCTTCTAGAAGTCTAACTAAATAGGTTTGACATGCCAACACAGTGGTGCCCTCAATTGTGTTATTAGTAATACTGAGTCGTATGATTTCTGCTGAGGTGAATATTTAGACCATTTCAGAGTGCAAAGCAACAGTGAAAATTGTTTTCATATATATCTGTATGTAGAAAACATTTTATATAGCATATAATAACATCTTATTAATACATTAATAGTATAGTAATTAATTATATGTGTTGCATGTGTGTATGTAGGTAGCTATGCACGTCCTAGGAATTAATTTTAAAGATGTTGTTTAAAAAAACCTTAAGAATTGCCTTTGTAGCCTCATCCCCTTCCTTTTGGATACCATCCCCAGGTATAATGATCTCTCTAGGCTATAGGCTTGCTTGGGAGCAGCAAGACCTGAATAACAACACATCATATTTGTATGAGACAGTGACAGATACATAGAAAAATAATGGAAATATGTTTCCTCATTTTTCTTTGCAGTGATATTCACAGTAACAGTGGGAAAGGGGAAGAAATGAACTTAGAGGAATGAGGAAACATGCCTGAAACAAAGAAAACGAGAATGTGCTGAAAAAAAAGAAGAGTATGGAAGATAAATGTGTAGATTATAGTGCTAATAAGTAGTTTAAATTATAGCAGCCTTTCTGGAGGTTTGAAGGGTCAATGAAGCTCTAAGACTTCATCAGTAATTAATTTCTTGCTAAATGGTATTTTGATCAAGTTCAAATAAGTCATTGTAATGGGAATATTTTGCTAAATCGTGTGAAGTTTTTGAACCCTATAAAAGAACGTGTACTTTATGCAAATAAACATTTTAACATTTATTTTGTAGGTACTCAGTACTGTTTGACAGTTCATCTCTTCACAGACCATGGGAAGAGTACATCAGTCACCAAAAAATGCGCTACTGGAGAAGAATGCCATTTTGTAGGCTGCCACCATCACAGAGAAAGTGGTCACACAGTAAGCACTCTCTTTTTTTGAGGTTTGCATTTCAGCGCTTGTCTTTCCTGC